TTGGCCTGAAAGCTGCGTGTGACAGAGGATGCTGTACCTACCATGTAGTGCAAGCTGCAGGTGCTATGGGAATACACGATATTGGTTTCCATGACAGCTTGTCTCCCTTGAACGTCTTTGTCACGGTCTTGGATGCTCTGTATCTCTTTGAACTGACACCTGGATACAGGCGAGGGTGGGGGGTTGGTTCTAGGCAGGGGCAATCTAAAAACTGCCGTGTTTGGTGAAGGATTTCCCCTTGTTTCTGTTTCAGTTCTAAGCAGGGCGGCCGAATGACAAATATCAAACAGAAAACTCAGCTGCTCAGCTGTCACCCAGCTCTTGGCAACGTCTGTCGAGCAGGGGAGTGACTTGCTCTTTCTTTTGCTCCAATAGGTTTAAAGTGTTTGCAGATTATGAGGCTTATGTCAAATGCCAAGACAAAGTCAGCCAGCTGTTTATGGTAAGAATGGGGCCGGGAACAAGACAAGCTGGGCTGGATTAACACATGCTGACACACTAAGCCATCTCAAGTTTGAGAGGCCCCTTAGCATTCCCAAAAACGTGTATTCTTCTAACAGAAAGGACAATGAAAATAGAAAGAATACATTTTTATAGTTGTGTATATACCGGCACATAGGCAAGGATGCAGCTCAAAACTACTAATTTTTTGTGTGTTTAGGGGCCCCTCAAACTGAGGCCCTCAACTACAGCTTACTTAAGCCAGGTCTACACTATACCCGGCAGCTCAGCTTAAGGTACCCAACTCTGGCTACACAGCATCCATAGCTGGAGTCGGCTTCCAGTAAGCCAAGCCTGGTGGAATCCCCATATCAGGAGGCTGGTGGAAGCAAATGCTCCCTTCTGCTTTCCTTACTCCTCACAAGAGCAGGAGTACTAGCCACTGACGCAGAAGTCCTCTGAGTTTGATTTAGCGAGTCTTAACTAGACCTGCTAATCAAACTCTGGAAGAGCAATTGCAGTAGCAGTGCTCTTCCATTCAGTATAAACAAGGCCTTAGCTTGTTCATAAATCCAGCACTGTCTGGGTTAAGGATCCAAAGGGGTCTGTAGGGAACTTATTCCCTGATGCAAGTTAGAGCATCTCGAAAGCCGCTCTTCACTTGTGCTGAGGTTACTGGGTTGGTCTGGTAAATCCCCTGCTGGGACCCACTGTCTCTACTGGTTTAGGTGAAGTGGCTCTAGCCCACTGCATCTACTGGTCGTGACTTAATCGTTACTTGACTATAACGGTGCATTGGTCTCTGAGACCCACGACTCAGATTCTTTAGTGCTTACCTGATGGTAGTGACCTGTCACACCATTAGCTGGGAGAGCAAGAAACTCTCCCTTGGCTGGAGGCTGCTGGGGGATGCAGCTGTTCTGTGAGCTGCTCACTGGTATCTCCCCTAGCAAGCTTGTATCAGAGCTATTCAGAAACAGCGCTTCCAAAAGGGGCATTAACTCTGCTCGGGATCAGCTGCTCCGTTTTCAAAGCTCTTGTAGGTACCAATACAACAGAGACCTGAAAGTGTCTGTACTGGGACCGGGTCACACACGAAGCCAGCTTAACCCTCTCCTAGCTGCTGCTTCTCCCCCCCCCCCCCCGGTCTTCCAACTTGCCCTCCCTCAAACATCAGACCCTCTCTTGGGTCCTATAGTAATGTTGCCATTCCCGGCAGGGCAGTCTCCCTAGAGTCCTAGATACGCATTTACCAGTCTTTTTAGGAACTCAGTAGAACAGGTACAGTGCGAGTCCTTGCCAAGCATACTCGCAGGAACAGTGTCTCTGCCTTCAAGTTCTGTGATCGGCTCAATTTAATTTACAGAATGCTAAAGAGTGGACCAAAATGGTTATTAGAAACATCGCGGCCTCGGGGAAGTTCTCCAGTGACCGGACCATTAAGGAATATGCCCGGGACATCTGGAATGTGGAGCCTTCTGACCTGAAGATTCCTCCCCCAAACCAACCCAGGGATGTGGCCGATGACAAGACACCCAACGATGCCACTGAAAAGCTGAAGATGTAGTTCCGAGATGTTGCAGCAGAAGCTGTCCCTAGTACGGATGGGGTGTAACATAGATGCATTCCCATCACTCGTCAGCAGCGATTTGTATCGGCTTTCCCAAGAACTTGAGTCTCCAGAACACAGTGTTAGAATACAAACGGCTTGCTTTAGGTGCTGGAATAAAAGTGCCAATTGAAATATCTAGTGCACTTGATGCAGTTCACTGAAGCCTACAATCAGAAGCTAGGGCTGCTTGTGTGGACTCACCCATGATATTTTCCTGTATCTGTGGGGGCTGGAGCCAGACCTGACAAACCTTAAATATTTAGGGCTGTTCAGCCAGTGATCAATTGTTCGATGGACATGAACAAGGAGAAATAGGCTTCAGCTGGAGCAAGGGTGATTTAGTTTCAGTATTAGGAAATACTAACCTAAACCGCCCTGGTTGCAATGTAAGCCCATGACTACTTGTTCTGCTTTCGCTGGGCCCCGTGCATTGCTCCTCCAGCAGCCCGTCCCAGTTCCCTTTCTGATCCGAATCCATTTCATGGTGCGTGATGCAGCAGCTACCAGCATGGGCACCCTAGCTTCCTTGTGCAAACACTGCCCCGTAGGGCTTAGCTATCCCAAGGCGGGCTGCAGTTCAATTCTTCTCCATGCCACTTGAAGCCCTGACCTAATACGTCATGTAATTGGGAGTTTCAGAGATGCCCTGTCCTGTAGATAGAGCCCTGGGTAAATTTGTCATTTCAAAAAAAGCTTAGCACTTCAGAGCTGCACTAAGGCTTTGTCTATAGTTAACATTTTAATGTGCTGCCACAGTTGTGCTTTTAAGGAAAAGGGGCCGCACCAGGCAGCCCTCTCTGTAAACCATCTCGCCGAGAGGAGGCGCCAAGAGGCTCCCAGTGCTGTAGCCTGAGGCACACTGGTGCTTTACAGCACTGGAACGTGATGCGCTCGGAGAGGTGTCTTTTCACACTTGTAAAGTGCCAGTGTAGACGTGGCTGTAATCCAAGAACGCTTAATGTGTCACCTGAATTGTTTACCCTTCCTGCGTACGGCTGCGGGGGGAGAGCTATACAGCCACGCGCTGGGTATGCCTGCTCTAGCATAGTCAAGCCGCTTTCTGATAAAATCAAGTAACTGAAATCAATGGTGGTGTTGTGGCTTTATTGAAAGTCTCTGCCAGGGCATCGCTTCGGTCTGTGGCGCAGGTAGCATCCCCTGGAGTAGGTGTTATCACTTGAACTTCTTCAGGAAGTCTCTGCAACAAAAGAAGTGTAACACTAAACTCTCCCACTTTGCTGGTAGCTAATGGCTGAGTGTTTCATTTGTCTCTTCCCCAGACAGAAGGTGAGGCTACATCTCGACTACAAAGAAAAGTCAAAGACACACGTTGCAAATGGCGACTTGTGTATCGTTTGAAAGAAAAGCAGAAAAAGGTTTTTCTGAAACTTGATGCATCTTCACAGCACCAGATTTTGGAAAAATCTTTTGAGCTTTCCCCCCTTCCTCACAATGAGGTGTACACTGAAGGAGAGAACGCATCTGCTTTTCTGGAAAAGCAGATACATCTCTTGGCTGTGACACTGCTTTTCTGGGATACTGCCTCTGGTATCCTGGAAAAATTGCTGCAGTATAGACATAGCCTGAGTGTCAGAACAGACTAGATAAACTTGATCCAGTGGTGTATGGATCCAGGGCTTGTTCTTCAGATCCCATAATGACAGGGCTCCTTAGCGTAGGCTGAGTGCTCCACTAATGGGAGGGTAATGGGATACCCTTCATGGTAGTGGCTGAGGCTTGTTAATGTGGTACAGCACAGCAGGTGGAGTGCTTCTGTAATGCTAACCTGTGAAGTGTTGCAAGAGCGGGGGATTACAGAGTACAGCAGGGGTTCCCAAAGTAGTACACACACTGGGCATGGAGGTGTTGGCCGTGGGGAAGGACTGTATTTATTGAATTAGAGGCCTTCCCCAGGAAGCTTGGAACCAGAATGTTTTATGAATTCCAATACCTATCCCACCTCCCTGAGAACATGGACACATGCTGAGGGACAGAATCCTCATCTCCGGTCTTGATACAGCACAGATTCAGGTGCCTGGTCACTGCCCAGTCTGAATTTTATGTGCTGCACTGTGTATATAACACATGCCTGGGGGAATTCTGCAAGTCATTTGCCAATAAAAGACTAGTTATGGAGATTGCCTATCTCCTAGAACTGGCAGGGACCTTGAAAGATCATCAAGTCCAGTCCCCTGCCCTCATAGTACCATCCCTGACACTTTTTTGCCCCAAATCCTTAAATGACCTCCACAAGGATTGAACTCACAACCCTGGGTTTAGCAGGCCAATGCTCAAACCACTGAGCTATCCCTTCCCCTCCCTCTAGCTATATATTAAAAAAAAAATCATGCACCAGTGTATACACTCTCCATAAGAACATCATAGCACCAAAACAGCAGATGAAATTTGATAAATGCAAAATATTAGAAAGCAATTGCAACTCTATATAAAATGGACAATTAGCTATCACGTGAGTGATTTTGGGAGTCACTGGGTAGTTCTCTGAAACCATCCCCTCAATGTGTGGTGGCAGTCAAAGGCAAACAGTGTTGGGAATCATTAAGAAAGGGCTATAGGATAAGACAGACGCCTATTGTCCCTCTTGAATATTGTGCACTGATGTGGTTGGCTCAGAACAGATCTTAACATTGGGAAAGGAACAAAAAAGATTAGGAGAGGACTACTCAGCATACAGCCCATGGTGCCGTTTAGATTTACACGTGGCCACCATATTTTTGAACATGGCCTCCACTAGGAACACACACTACACAAGTCAGTAGAATGGTCTTCTGTTGAGATGCATTTTAGTAGTTAAATTCCTGCACTATCATTGCTCATTAAAAGTGCTGTCATATGGGTGGAAAACCATTTCCTTTTTATAAATAGCAGCACAACTAACTTAAATGGGGCCTGTGTGTTGTGTAGCATTGCCATAGTTGTTTTCACAAAGTCAGGCATGATTACAAAGATTATTTGCAGCCATGCTTAAGGTACAGCCCTCAGTGGCTGTATCTACACTGGCATGATCTTGTGCAAAAGCATGTGCCAGTGTAGACGCTCTCTTGCACAAGAAAGCTCTGATGGCCATTTTAACCATAGAGCTTTCTTGCACAAGAAATTCAAGAGGCCAGTATAGACAGGCAACATGCACAAGAACAGTTGTGCAAAAGGGCTTATTCCTGAGCAGGAGCATCAGAGTTGTTGCACAAGAAGCCCTGATTTCATACAGTAGAACTTGCACAGAAACACACGGCCAGTGTAGACAGGCAGCAAGTTTTTGCGCAAGAGCGGCTGCTTTGGTGCAAAATCACACCAGCGTAGACACAGCCAGCATGTGCTATGAGTATCATTCTGGCCCCTGGAGCTTCCAAAGTTGAGTAGCCTTGGATTAGGAGTTTGGAATGGCTACCACGAGGCAAATAAGACTGGGACTTCTCAGCTTGAAGAGAGACAACTAAGCCGGGCTAGGTTAGGTCTTTAAAAAAAAAATCTTGACTGGTGTGGAGAACTAGCAACCCCCAAGGAAATTAATGGGCAGTGAGTTTAAAACAGACAGCACTACTTCACACACTGCAGTGCCAACCTGTGGAACTCCCTGCCAGAGGATGTTGCAAAGTCCAAGACTAACAGGATTTAAAAAAAAAAAAAAAGTAGATACGTTCACAGAGAATTGCTCCATCAGTGGTGATTTCCAGGATGGGCAGGGATGGTGGCCCTAGCCTCTGTGTCAGAAGCTGCAAATGGGCAAGAAGGGATGGATCACTTGAGTCCCTGTTCTGTTTATTCCCTCTGGGGCATCTGGCATTGGCCACTGTCAGCCAGGGTTCTGGGCTAGACAGACGGTTGATCTGACCCAATCTGGCCGTTCTTATGCCACTTGGAATTATTTTGGTAACTTATTTCAAAACACAAATACGCCTTGGACAGAATCCCCCACACGTAGAGAGTTAAGAAATCCCTGTGATAGCCCCATGCCTGTTTCTCTAGCCCCTCCCACTCCCCAGGGATGCAGAGGGAGAAACACCAGCCTGGGCTAAGGAGTTTCCTGCACAAACCCTCTTTCCTTCCTTCCAGGCAGGTGGAGATTTGCAGCGGCCAAGAACCTCCCCCTACACTCTCATTATATTTGCATCAGGATTCTGCCAGGTCTAGCAGCCCCTAGTGGTGGCCAGCAACACTGCAGCCTAGTCCACAGTGAAACAGGGACAGAGGCACAGGACTGGGAGGGGTTATGTGCTTACCCAGGGAAGCCTGCGGTCTCTTCCTAGAGCGAGCAGAAGCTGCACAGGTGGAGAAGAGCAGCTGTCACCCCCTCCCCTCCCCAGCAGCCCATGGGGCACAGCCTCACGCCCTGTGACCGAGCAGGCAGCTCTAGGGCGAAGTTCAAAGCCCTGCCCCCCCTCCTTTGCTCATCTCTCCAAGGTGCCCGTGGGGGGCGGAGGAGAGCGTCTGTACCCTGTCTGCTGGTCTAAAGCTGCATTCCCCTTGCACCTCCACAGCCAGCTGCTGCGAGCGCAAGGGTGGGGAAAAGGGCCTTTGCGGCCCGGATCCCTGATGGGCCTGGGGGCGGGAGGAGCGCGCAACATTTTCTCCTCCCTCCCCCGAGGAGCACGCAGCACTTCAAAGTGCCGTACGCTCACGCAGGGCGGGGGCGGGGCAAAGGGGCTCCCCCAACCCCAGACCAATCATGGGGTGGAGGTGGGGCAGCCCTGAAGCATGCTGGCCCCGCCCCTTCCAGTTTAGGCCCCGCCCTTTCTGGGGCAGCCTGTGGCCACTTCAAAATTTATTGCCCACCCCTGGTAATAGTGCTAGCTGGGCACAGGCCTTGTGCCCTAAAGGGACCCACGCCCTTGAGCGAGCTGCACTGAACAGCCGGCAGGACTTACTTGACGATGTCAGGCAGCTCTGGGTGGGAACAGATGTTTTCGTGGGCGAAGCCCAGCTGCTCCGGAAAGGAAACAAGCCGGACCTGGTCTTTGTTCTCATAGGCGGCGAGCGCAATCTCGAAGAGCTGGGGGGGGGGAGAAAAGAGGCCTCGTCGGGTCAGTCAGCGCCGTCCTTTCCCAACTGGCTCCCTCATGCCCCACTTGAAGTGGTTGGTGCCCCACGACCCAAAGGGATGTGACTGGCGTGAGGTCTCCGGCGTGCGGCGGCGGGGAGCCTCGGGCTGTAGGGGGGAGCTCCGCCTTTCTGGAGGGGCTTACCTGTGGCGCAGCAGGGGGGCTAAAGCAGCTTCCTGCCTCTCCTGGCACCGCAGACCAGGCTGCGCCACAGAGGGAGCCGGCGGCAGGTTCCCAGCTCACGGGAGTGCGGAGATAGTGCTCGGGGCGGAGGCAGCTCTGCCCCCCAGGAGCCGGGCCTGCTGGCACCCGCTTCTAGGGGGCAGCACAGACAGGCGGGAGCTGCCTTAGCCCCCCCACTGCTCACCTGACCCCCCTGCAGCCACGAGACCCAGCGCCCGACAGTCCACCCCCCAGTGCTGAGTCACAACCCGTCGTCTGAAAACCCCTGATTTCGAGTACAGCTGAATGGCTACAGCAGGTATGTACTTTACACGGCCCTGAACCCCAGGGCGAGGCTGTGAACCCCGTTTCACACACGGGCCTAGGAAAGCCATTGGCCAGGGCCAGTCTGTGGTTGTCTTAGGAACTAACTGAACGGGGGTGCACTGAATAAGTCCAGCGATGGGTCCACTAGCCCTGTCTTTCGGGCACCACAGCAGAGAGAAGGGGGGGGCCTAGGCAGCTAAGCTGCCCTTTCCCTGCTGTCTGGTTAACGGTGCTCCAGCCCTGCCTCCTGACTTGAGCGTGAGGCAGCTTAGCGCAGACCCCGGGGAGGCGGGAGTTCTGCTGGAGCGGCTCCCCCCCCAGCTCTTGGGGGGGCACAGCAGTCCCGGCTGCGGCAGGTCTTTCTAGGTGGGACTCAGCCGGACAAGGGGAATGTTTGGGATCTGAGGAAAGGGGAGAGACTAGAGTTTGAGCTAGTCAGACGGGGATTCAGGGACGGGCGTTGAAGAGGAGGGTGTAGCTCGGAGCGGTATGGGGGGCTGGTAGCAATGCCGTACGGCCAGGGCACTTACACCCAAGGGAGACACGGGGCTGTAGCATGGGAAGGGCTGTGTTTTCACCCCCAATAAAATCCCAGCTGCGTTGTGTAGCATTTTTCTGCACTGAGTCAATTCAACACAAAGGGAGTCAGGAGAGACGCTGCTGGTCTATAAGGAGCAATCTCACTGCGGCGGGTAACGGGGCCTGTTTGTAAAACGGTCTCAGACTCGCCTTTCTCCAACCTAGCCCGTCTACAGTGGCAGAGCTGGCTTGGACTACTCTGCACTAGTTAGGCCTCAGCTGGAGTACTGTGTCCAGTTCTGGGCGCCACATTTCAAGAAAGATGTGGAGAAATTGGAAAGGGTCCAGAGAAGAGCGACAAGAATGATTAAAGGTTTAGAGAACATGACCTATGAAGCCAGGCTTCATGAACTGGGCTTGTTTAGTTTGGAAAAAAGAAGATTAAGGGGGGACATGATAGCGGTTTTCAAATATCTAAAAGGGTGTCACAAGGAGGAAGGAGAAAATTTGTTCCTCTTGGTTTCTGAGGCCAGGACAAGGAGTAATGGGCTTAAAGTGCAGCAGGGGAGGTTTAGATTGGACATTAGGAAAAAATTCCTAACTGTCAGGGTGGTCAAATATTGGAATAAATTGCCAAGGGAGGTGGTGGAATCTCCCTCTCTGGAGATATTTAAGAACAGGTTAGATAGACATCTGTCAGGGATGGTGTAGACGGAGCTTGGTCCTGCCTTGAGGGCGGGGGGCTGGACTCGATGACCTCTTGAGGTCTCTTCCAGTCCTATTATTCTATGAGGAGAAGAGTTACCTTTTGACCCAGGTGGGCGGGTAAGACGGGATCATCTTCCGCATGCAGAATCAAGAGGGGACTGGAGAGCACTTTAACACTGCGGGGGAAAACAGAGCACGTTGAAGCTGGTTCATTAGCCTGGTGCACAGTGTTAGGGCAGGGAGAGCGACCCCTCAAGCCAATATTCCTAACGAACTTTGCACCTAAGTGCCGTACAGTTTAGCTGGAGTGTGTACTGTTCAGAGAACGCCTTGGCTGTGTCTAGACTGGCCAGTTTGTACAGAAAATCAGCCGCTTTTCCGGAAAAACTTGCCAGCTGTCTACACTGGCCGCTTGAATTTCCGCAAAAGCATTGACTTCCTACTGTAAGAAATCAGTGCGTCTTGCGGAAATACGATGCTGCTCCCGTTTGGGCAAAAGTCCCAAAACTTTTGCGCAAAAGAGCCAGTGTAGACAGCTCAGATTTGTTTTCCACAAAAAAGCCCAGATGGCGAAAATGGAGATCGGGGCTTTTTTGTGGAAAAGTGCGTCTAGATTGGCACTGACGCTTTTCCTCACAAAGTGCTTTTGCGGAAAAGCATCCGTGCCAATCTAGACGCTCTGTTTCAAAAATGCTTTTCACGGAAAACTTTTCCGTGAAAAGCATTTCCGGAAAATCATGCCAGTCTAGACGTAGCCCTTGTGTTTAAGACGGACCGGAGCAGAATGCTCCCAGTACAGATGTAAAATTTCAATTAATTGGCTAATTGAATAGTTGATAATTTCATGAGTCGATAAGGGGGCCTCCGCCCCAGGGCTGTTGCTACACTTCAAAGGCGAAAGCGCCGTGGGGAGCAGAAAGCCAGCGGTGGAAGAGAAGGGGCACTTCAGAGGCAGCAAGCGGGTGAGGGGACGTGACTAGTTGTTCACAACCCTAGCTACCAGCTGCACAAAGAGGGCCTTAGAAAGGTCTGATTTTTGGGACACTGCTGAGAATGGAAATACTCCCCACATACACATGCAGAAGCCCAGAAGGCATAAAGACGGTCCTGTTGGCCCTAGTCTACACTAGGACTATTTCAAAATAACCCCTCTTAGGTCAAGCCCGTTATCTCAAGTGGGTCCCTTATACCGCCTCCTCCGGTGTCTTGCCAGGCAGGAGAAGGGGGCAGAACGCTAACCCACAACCAGCATTTTGAAATAAAGGGCCGTGGAATTCGAAATCTGGACTCCTGCTTTTCATCAGGAGTAACACTCCTTCCGAAACAGTTCGAAATAGCAGGACTGTGGATGCACGGGTGCCGCTATTTCGAAGTAACGATGCCCCAGAGTAATTTGAACTAATTATCCACCCACCCAGTGCTTCTTGGGGCTCTAAGTCTGAGGTTCGCGTCCATGTTAGCAGAGCCTGCCTCGGAGTAACTGCAAGGCTCCCCGTAGCGAGGACACGCTAGTTCAATTTTGTTAAATCGGGAGTTAAGTTGAATTTACTAATTTTGAAACAGTTCCCTGGTATAGACCTGGCCTTGGAATACTGGATTTTACCCTCGAGCCACGGTGACGCTGCTTGTAGCAAACGCCAAACTTAAAATGGCCTAGCTTTGCCAGTTCCTCCTTCCCTCTTCAAGACTGTGCAGTGACTGGGTTGCTGAACGCTTTCTATGGGCATGGTGGGTTATAGGCTTGTGTGTGTGGTGGGGGGGGAGAGACTGTCACCACTTGGTAGCATAAGGAAAAGTTATTTCCTTATTCCCACAATATAAGAACTAGGGGTCACCAAATGAAATTAATGGGCAGCAGGTTTAAAACCAACAAAAGGAAGTTTTTCTTCACTCAGCGCACAGTCAACCTGCGGAACTCCTCGCCAGAGGATGTGGTGAAGGCTAGGACTTTTAACAGGGCTCAAAAAAAGAGCTAGATGGATTAAGAAGGATCCGGCAAGGGTTAATTTGGAAAAGAGGCGATTGATGGCAGGACATGGGAGTGGCCTTCGAGTACTTGAAAGGCTGTGGTAGAAAGAGAGAGAAAAATTGATTCCCTTCCACAGAGGCCAGGGCAGGATAAAAAGCAAGGAGTTCCAACTACAGCACAGCCAGACCAAAGTGGGAGGGAATGGAGGAGGCACCTTACAGACTGAATTTTATTATGGCATCAGCTTACATGAGCGGCAACTCACTTGGTCAGAAGCTTAGGCCATAATAAAACTGCACCGCTAAACCGGCTGCGGGCCAAGCCTCGGGCAAAGCTTTGAGAACACGAGGGCAATGGAACGGATGCCTCGCCGTAGGCCCCGAAACGTGACTCACTTTTCGTCGCTGCGGAAATACATGTCCCCCAGGGCCATGGAGTCGAGGACGAGGTACTCGAACCCTGGGAACTGGCGGTAGATCTGTGGGAGAAAGCGGGAGCGATCGGCTTTGCCAGGTTTGTATTTATAACTCACGCGCTTTTAAGGCTTCATGCCAGAAAACTCACGTTACATGCTTTAGGGTCTGTCTTTTCCACACCTCCCAGGTGCTACTTCTTCCCACCCAAGTCTGGCTTCTTAGGCACGTCCGGGGGGGAGGGGTGGTTTCTCTCCTCCCCAGGGGCAGATGACCGTTTTGCGGGGCCCCGGGCAGCATAATTCCACGGGGCCCCCCTTTGCCACGGTGCATGCGCGGGGCTTTCTGAAGCGCGGGGCCCGGGGCGGCCGCCCCGTTCGCCCTGCCCTATATCCGCCCCTGCTCCTCCCCCAGATTCACAGGCTGGTGTCAGGGGGTCACGCTGGACAGCTCCTACCCAGCGAGTCTCCTGCCATCCAGCTTCCATTTCTACTGTAACCGGAGTCCATGCAGAACAAGGGTTTGCACATGGTCTCGCCCACATTTTTAACGAGACACAACCCATCGCATTCCCAGCTAAACCCTCCGTGTCTTGTAACACGAGGGGGAGAGGGAGGGAATTTGGATGATTTCCTCCATCCCCAAAGGGAACCCTAACGCGTACTGATCCACAGGTACTAGTCAATACCGACCAGCCATTTCCCTGTACCTAAAGCTACCTGCTTTACGGTGGGTCTCACCAACGTCTGCCTTTTTAGCTAAATGATTAAGAGGGTCTCCTGAGATGGCTGCATTAAAGCCTCCATGTCATGTTCCCATTTTGGCCCCCCGGCCATGGCTTACAGTTTGCACCGAGGGACACAGTGTTAGGATGCTATGAAATATTTTATAACGCCAGTAGGACAGCAGCCTTAGTGGGCGCGCGCACGTTCATGGCTCCCCGACATGGCTTTCAGCCCAGCGATGGCCTATTACCAAAGGACCTCCATAGACAAGACTGCCATTGCGCTTCCTACGCCTGCACGCTGGTCGGTCACCAGAGCTCCACCGCCAGCTGTCAGCCGTGTAAATAACATGCTTCCCGCCCAGCCTCACGGGACAGCCAGCGACACCCGAGCCCTGCCACTTGGACAAGTCTCCCTGGCCACGTGCCCTTGGTTTTCACGCGCGGCGGCGCCGGGTGGCCGGGAATCGGTGGCCTTACTTTGGTGAAGGGGATGTGAGCGGCTGCCTCCCGAATGTTGGTGTAGGCAGATTCCAGAACGATCAGGTCCACCTGGTTGCCTTGGAAACAGTAAGGAGGGAGGAGACTCATCAGGCGAGGGACCGTTCGACGTCCTTTGCGCTGCCTCTGTGCCTCCCACCTGCATGACTCACTGCTCCACAGGCCCCGCCCCCCACAAGTTAGTGAGTCAAGTCTACAAAAGCCAGATGCTCTCATGTGCCGAGCGGCTGTTTTATTCCTCCACCCCCCCCACACAACAGATTAGACATAGGCCCTTGTTCTGCCACTATTCAGGGGCTCTACCTAATGCCTGAAATGAGGCCTGCTCCGCAGTGGGGCCTTTCCAGGGACTACAATGAGCGGTGGATCAGGCCCCCTCAGCTGCATATTGAGAAAATGGAAGAGGCTCGGAACATCTTCAAGTTACTGCAACTTCTAGGGCTGCCCCAGACAGCACTGGGCAGCTGCTCTCTGCTCTCTTGGCACCGCCCAGCTCCCCCACCCCGGTCCCCCCAGGAAACACCAGAAGTACAGCGCCCTCCAGCGAGTCCTGGCTGACATGCCCTCGGAGCGGACCCTAGCCAGCGTAGGGTAGAGCAAGCATGGGGCTTGTCTGAGTTTGGCCACGGCCACAGGGAGCCGTGACGGACTCTTGCTCTTCCCAGCTCATGGGCTAGCTCACGGTGATGAATATTGGCAAATTACCTCTTTCTTCAAGCAGTTTTCTTGCCACATTTGTGGCTACCCTGTGAGAAAGGAAAGATCAGTCAGGGAACACAGAGCGGGGCATTTTTAACAAAGAGATGAATCGATTAAGGCCAGAACTGACCACTGGGTTCATCTCACTTGATCTCCCACATAACATCCCTGAATCAATTCCTATTCTAAGACCAAACAGCTGTGATTGAAATAGAACTTTTCAGAAAGATCCAATCTTGACCTATGTATTTCCAGGCATAGAGCAGCCATCATGACCCTTGGCCAATTGTTCCAATGGTTAATTACCCTTTTATTTCTAGTCCAAGTTTCTCCAGCTTAGTCTTCCAGCCCTTGGTTCTTGTTCTATCTTTCTCTGATAGACTGGAGACTCCTCCATCACCCAGACAACCCTTTTAACTAGGGGTCTCAAACTCAATTTAGTCCTTCTCGTGACTCTTCTCCGAGCCCTCTCCAATATTTCCAACATCCTTCTGCAACTGACAACTCCTGAGCTAGTCCAGCAGTGGTTACACTAGTACCAGATACAGAAATAAAATAACCTCCGCTCGATTCAGGATTCCCCCGTTTATACAGCCAATGCTCACAGGAACATTTTTGGCCACGGGATTGTAAGTAGGGCCCAGAACCAATTGCCGAGGAACCCACTTAAAAATCCCCTCTCAAAGATAATTCCCCGTTTACGCATCAGCCAGCTAGCCTTCTCCATTTTGGGGCACCATGAATTGGTATCTTTCTAGTTTCTTACACAAGATGGTATATGGTGCTTAGAACTCAAATGCCTGAGACGTTTATCACAGCAGCATTACCTTGGTCAACTACAAGAAAGAGTTGGAAAAATCCATTTGCCCATGTTAACTGGCATAATTCTATTACTTTATTGTAACACGTCATTAGCTACACGTGTCGCTAGGAGGACAGCTGTCACTGACAGGTCTATAGTTACTCAGAACAGCGGTTCCCAACCTGCAAAACCATTCACAAACTTTTGGTGGACCGGTAACATCTTATTTGCATATTAGCATATTCACTATGCAAACAACAAATATGCAAATAAAATGTTACCAGTCCACCAAAAGGCCCAGCCTCCAGAACCCCCCCACGTGTCGCTAGGAGGACAGCTGTCACTGACAGGTCTATAGTTACTCAGAACAGCGGTTCCCAACCTGCAAAACCATTCACAAACTTTTGGTGGACCGGTAACATCTTATTTGCATATTAGCATATTCACTATGCAAACAACAAATATGCAAATAAAATGTTACCAGTCCACCAAAAGGCCCAGCCTCCAGAACCCCCCCGTGCCAGTCCTAACCCCTAGAGCCCCCTAC